AATAAAACTTGCGCCAGCTGCGATTCCAACCGGGGTTTTCAGGTTTTCTAAGCGTATAAGTATATACATTTTATTGCAGTGCCGGAAACTCTCCCTGTTTTCTGGGCAATGCGGTTTTTTAAGGTTTATAGCCTGACTTATTTCATGTATAAATAATGTGACCAACCGTACTTCTTTCGGAAGTACAGTACTTCTTTTTTCGCTCTTGTACTTCGTACTTCGAAGTACAGTCAAATGTACTTCTTTGCGATATTTTGTACTTCAGGAGGGAAATTCTGTAACTAGTTAGTGACAATTTTCGGATTGCTATCGCACTTTTTGATGCAAAAACATTTATGTCATTTACTTATGTTTAGTATAAAAAAAGTGCAAGTTTGAGGTAGCTAGAACTTACCATTGATTTTTAGCAATTTTTTTGTTGAAAGTGGCGTTTATTTTCTCCATATAAAATAATGTTTGATAATTTTTTTATATGGAAAAAATGTGCGACATATTAAAAAAAAAATTCCCATAAATCAATGATAAGTCCTAGCTTCCTCATACTTGCACTTTATTATACTAAAATTGAATGGACTAAAAACTGCATACTCAACTTTTTTCTAGAGAGCGTAAATAAAAAGTGCAATATTTAAATGAAATTTTGCAGAATTTTCTTAAATTTGGCACAAGGTTTGGAGCTCAGATTTTTCTGGTTTTTGTTGTAGAATTAACATATTTTTATAAAAAATTAGCGAAAAATAAAATATTTAAAAAAAGTTGCCCGTATTGTAAAAAATTCGCTGTACCTAAACTTTATTGACTGACTGTTGAACACAGCGCCTGCGGACATTGCAGACAGAATTGTCGCAGCACGAACTGCTATTAGGCTAAAGGAGACCGGGTACTGTTGTGACATAAAGGAAAATGTTTTTAAAGGCACTTTAAAACACGCTGCCTCTCAATGTCTAGTGATGGGGGTTCTGACAGGCCATTGTGCGATTGGTATTCATGCGGTGAAACTAGGAATTTCGACTGATCCTTTTGTATCAGCTGTCAAGAGGAAGATGANTTACATGTCTGGCTGTAGCTGAGTGCACGAAGATGCTTGCCACAATTTGCTAATTTCCAGAGCGTCAGGGTTCAAATCCCGAAATCAAGAGAGATCCTGTCGCTGTCCTAAGTGCCGTGTTCTGGCTAGTCTGCAGCTTCATCCACTGCGTCCTACTAGTCCCCGGTGACCACACGGGCGCAGCGTAGTTCAGAACCGACCAGCCAATTGCCTTGTACGTCGCCAGCAACGTTTCTTTGTCTTTGCACCAGGTGTTGCCGGCTAGCGACTTGAGGACCTTGTTTCGGTTTTGTACTTTGTTGACAATTGCGGTTGTATGCGCCGAGAAGGAGAGCAGACTATCGAATGTTCCTCCGAGTATCTTCGGGTTGTTTACCGTCGGAATTGGTGTGTCATCGACGTGAATTCCCAGTTGGAGTCTGACCTCCTTCGTCCAGGTGGTAAATAGTGAGGCCGAGGATTTTGTAGGGGAGAGGTTTAGGCTCCGTGCAGTGAAGAAGCGAGAAAAATCGTCGAGATAACGTGGGAGAGAGGAGGTCTATACGTTTTCTTGTAGCGTTGAATGGCTGACAGTGTAGAACACCTTAGACAGGTCCAGCGCTACTAGAATGGTTCTCTCACAGGGGCGCTTTCGGTTTAGGCCACGAGTTATCTGGGTATTTATGGCGTTAAGTGCTGTTGTTGTGCTGTGCACTTTACGGAATCCATGCTGATTCTTCGCTGGGGTTAGGTGGTTTGTAAAATACGGGAGTAGCAAGGCCTCTAGTGTCTTCGCAACCTGGGAAATGAGGGTTATCGGACTATAAGACTCTCCTTTGTTGGCAGGCTTCCCCGGTTTGAGCAGTGGGACCACACTCTCCATCTTCCAGATGTCTGGAATGAGAGAGACCGCTGACAAATTGAGGACCTCCGTTAGGTACGCTACTCCCGTAGGGCCCAAATTTTTCAGCATCAGCATGCATATTCCGTCGGGTCCAATGGCTTTGGAGGCTTTCGCCTTCCCGATGGAAACCCTTACCTAACCGCTGGTGAAAACAAGTGGCGCACTAGGTTTTAGCAGCTTGTGCAGCCTTCTGGCCACTCGACGTTTGGTTTTATCCACCGGAGGATGCAAGATGAACTGCCGGCTAAAATAGCTCGCGCATCGCTCCGGGTCCGACGAAGAGTGTTCACCAAAGTCTATTTCAACTCTGTCGTCACGCTTCGTCGGGTTGGACAATGACCTCACGGTTGACCAAAGCTTACTCACACCAGAAGCAAAGTGGCAGGTGCTCTTCCCATTTCTTCCGCTTATAAACGTTCACAAGCTCCCGAATCTCCGAGTTGAGATCCCTAATACGGGGATCTCCGGGATCGGCCTGACGAAGGTTGTCGCGCTCATCGGCTAGGACAGCCTCTTCAGCTGGAAAGTTCGGACGATGGGCGGAGACGCTTCCCGCTGGGATGAAGCGGGCTGCAGCATCAGTGACAACCCTTCGGAATTTACGTTCACCTACGTGAACGTCGGTTAGTATTGGTAGTGCAGCGAAGTCGCTTTCAGTAACATCCGCGAAGCCTTTACAATCAGCTTTAGAAAAGCTGACATAGGTCCGGTGACTCGCGGAAACAAAGTCGGCTGGTTTATCAATCGAGATGACTATGGGCAGATGGTCCGATGCTAAAGTCAGTATACGCTGTTTATCAGACCAGCGCTGACTATTGTTAGGTCTGGCGAGCTGCAGCAGCTGCCCATAATCCTGGTGGGTGCGTCGTCGTTCATTGTGCAGAATGTCGAATCGTCTATCTGCTCAGCTCAGATCGTTTGACAGGCTTGAATGTCAAAGATCGTGGTGCGCATTGAAGTCACCAACTACCATACGGTTTTCACCTCTGAGGATCGCACCTATTTCAGGGTGATATCCTGCCGGGCAGCTGGTGGCAGGGGGTGTATATACGTTGAATATTGCGAGCTCGACTTCGCCTGACCGGATAGCAATTCCCTGACATTCTAGGATGGTATCCCTGCGGTCGATGTCTGCTTCGATAAGACGATCTGCACGGTGTGGTGCGTGATAAACGCTAGGCTCCACCATTATCTCGCTCGCGATCTCGACGGTGCACGTTGTATCCGGCGCAATTCAACAGTGTTGAATTGCCGTGCAGTTTCGTCTCTTGGACTGCAGCTATTAATATTCCGTGTCGACCCATGAAGACTGTTACATATATCCTCGATCTTGCTCTGAAGTCCGTTACAGTTGAATTGTAAAATCTTCGTGTGCCTATGGAGACTTATTGGAATGTGGGGTGTTAGTGATGTGTGCTGCCGTGCCGCCACATACTGTGCTTGCTGCTGCTGAGGCTATTGCCCTGTGGTGTTAGTGGGAATAGTTTTTAGTCGATCATCCTTCTTCAAGTGTTTGTTTGTAGAATAGGGCTGCTATAATCCTGAACCCACCGATCAGGACACTTATTCTCTGCAAATACAGTTTCTTTGGTTCTGGCGTTGCATTATTTTGAAGTATTTTCTGATATTATAAGCAATGTAGTTATGTGGCAAATCCGTAGAACTGAAGGACTGATGATGATGAAACTCTCAACTTCTGAATTTTTTTTAATCATAAAAGAACAAAAGTATATGTTTATATTATTTAGCATTACAAATAGGATTCAATAAGCATTTTAAGTCTCAATAAAACATATTTGATCTGAACCTTAAATATTTAAATAGAAGTATCATTTTTGTGAACTAAAAACTGCTTTAAAAGAACTTCTTCAAAAGGCCTTCAGAAGGACGTCCTACAAAAGCCCTTCTGGGTAGCTCTTCTTTGAGTAGCGAAAGCAGAGGCCCTTCAATTTGTGCCACTCCATACCAAAAAGGAAGGAGAAAGGAATGACTTTCATAAAGGCCTTTTGGCAGATTTTTTTTAACTCCTGAAATTATCTACTGCGTAGTATGTGGGACCCCTCACCCGTGTACCTGTTCAGGAACTTGCACTTTTTGGCATTTGCCTTAAAATACAAAATTAGTTATTAGCCAAATGAGCTAAACAGAAAGAAGGTAAACTCACCTGATATTGTTCAACATGTTAGAAAAAATGTTTCAATATCGATTTTCGACTACTAATGACAGAAAGCTTAACCTCTTTTTTTCAAAGCAAAAATCTGCTAAAAATTAGATGGGTGTCTTCATTGACCTTCATTAAAAAACCAGGACAATTTTAGTGTGGACCAGGACAATTGGTTTAAATCAGGACAAATCCTGGAAAACCAGGACGTTTGGCAGCCCTATTGTAGAAGGATGAGCGCCTATAATTTATTCACACTGACTTATTCAACGAGACGAGTTTAATTCTTTAGCCCATGCAATGGTAATGTTAAATTGTTAACTTTTTAGCTTCCTGAAAGCATGGAATTAATTTAAAGAAAATACTCAGGTTTTTGAACAAATGCTATTCCTTTTCCCTATGTTCATGAATGGTCCTATCGTCGGAAAGCCGCCTGCGCGGTCGTATCTCATGTTTAGGAAGAAAGGCATGCAAGTATCTGACATAATACATGCCTAATTTGGTTACGCATAATACATTGGATATATCAATTGCAGTTGACCGCGGTGCCCACCTCGAATAGTTTATTAGCTACTAGTAATTTAACTGAGATTTAGTTTATCATCATATGTATGTACATATAAGTATAAACAAAATCTATTCGTAAGGGCCGTCAACTTATCTTCTTTAAAGTATAGAAAATCCTACAGAATTTTCTGTGGTTAAGTTTAACTAACGATTTTACTATATTTTAAAATAAATCATCACTTAAACTTGACTACAGAAAATTCTATGGAATTTTCTAGTGATTTAACTATACTTTAAAATAGATAAGTTAACTGCCCTAAGTTATATATAAGTTAAACAACTTTTTTAACACTTTGTGCTCATTCGTAATTTAATTTTTAAATATTTTTTTGTAATTGCAGAATTCTCTTTAGAACCTTGAACCATCATTATGATTACGTTTACGATTGGACCATGCTTAAACAAAAAACGCATCAAGGCCAACCAAATCCAGCAATATTGCTCGGACAAGCTGAGTCACGCAACGAACGGGACAAGGAAAAAGAGAAACAGAGTGGAAAACCCATGATTTCTGATTAAACCCATTTCTAACATCAATTTGTGAAATCAAACACGTATTTTCTAGGGATAGAACTGGAATTTGATTATAACAAGTAATGCAAATGCATTTTGCACATCTAATGGATATTAATGTATAATTTACAATACTGTACACAATTTGAATTACGTCAATAAAGACTAATTGTTTTAAACCTGAAAAAGTTTCGACATGATGCCTAATTGATGAAAGACTTATATACCAATTTGGTCAAATTACGTTTGAAAATGGTAGCGTGACGATGTTTTCAATGGCAGTATATTCTTTTCGGTTCCTCTCAAAATGGGTACGCGTTCCAGCGATTCTTGTACAGCAAATGTTAGAATGTAAAAAGTTTCAGTACACATGGTTAGACATAAGATTTACCATTATGAGATTTATATTTCATAACATTTGCTTTTAATTGTCGATTTTACTGGCGTTGGAAGGAGCTGCTCTAAAAAACTATTTGGAACAAATTCATTGAAAACCCGACTTTTGAGATCAAAAATCAAATTAAAATTAAAGTTACCAAAAGCTTATTTTTGTCCCCTAAACCACTGTATGGACTTCTGCTTAAATTAAAAGGGTATTATTATTATTATGAGCCTTGAGCACTGCGACCTCTAAGGTGGTCTATTGTGCGTAATTAAAAGGGTAAGCTAATTGGTAAAAAATAGCATGCCGCACAAGCTTAAGGATAAATCTCTTCATCTCAATTAGAAAACCATATCGACTTCTCAGAAGAAGATCGCGCAGAGAATTTGAACTGGAGTCAGTGTTGCTAGTTTGCGTGAATTCGCCCTTTTTTCGGGATTTTATGACTAAAAAGAGCGAATGGGATTTTCTGTCGAAAAACGGAGTTTTTCGCATACCGTACCAAGCAAGAAAATTTATTAATTGATAAGTAAGAAAAAGCTGCTCTCTGTAGTAAATTAACGCCGTTCATATGAATCCTATCAGCGGAACTTCATTTACTTTAAATGAATTTTAATAGCAAGTTTATGAGTAAAGTATATAGAAAGTAATTTGGAAAAAAATAAAGTTCTAGAAGTTAGAACAACGAGTGGGAATTCGCTAAGTTGTGTATATTTTGAAAGTATTAGAAACATTCCCAATCAATAATTATTTTTGCAAATGTCTTGAGTTTCTAGATTCTGAAAAGTATTTTGAGTGATTCTATTATCAAAGAAAGTAAAATTAGCGAAGTGCAAACGTTTGGGACGTAGTCGTTCAATAGTTACAGACATCAAAACGAAAAGACGAAACAGGGCCCTATTGCACCAACGAATTATCATTAGCATTTTAGCAAATTGTCGAACTTGCGCAAAGTTTTGTGTTTCACCAACATGATAAGGAAAAGTCACTCAAATGAGTATTGATAAGTAAAATATCACTCAAAATCATAGATAAGAGTTGCACCAAAATTTTAAATGCCTAGCGACAAGATCTTAGCGGATAAGTTACAAGTTATGCAAATTATCAAAATATATTAGCATTTCGTTGCACCAAAATATTTTTTTTATCACTTATCATCTTTTNAATCATAGATAAGAGTTGCACCAAAATTTTAAATGCCTAGCGACAAGATCTTAGCGGATAAGTTACAAGTTATGCAAATTATCAAAATATATTAGCATTTCGTTGCACCAAAATATTTTTTTTATCAGTTATCATCTTTAATTTTGCTAACTTTAGCATTATTTTGCTAAAAATAATTTTACCTATCATACCAGTGATAAGTTACATTTATTCAGTCTGAATGAATTAATCAGTGCTTTAACACGTGCTTCGATAAAATATTTACACAAAAAATGCTTACATTCGAACTATTAAATTTATTAGAGGACTAAAATACGCAAATAAGGCGTACGGTTTAGATATTGGTGTGGGAGAAAATTGTCGGCTATCTCGTAGCCAAATTGAAAAAATTTTATTAAAATNCATAAAAGAACGAATCAACTACGGTTTAGATATTGGTGTGGGAGAAAATTGTCGGCTATCTCGTAGCCAAATTGAAAAAATTTTATTAAAATTTGGAGCTGACCTACAATATAACAGTGAGCGTAATAATTGCTTAAGTCCGCTACAGCAATTATTAACGACTCTGCACTGGTTAGGTAATGGTAGCCAATATCATGGAATTGGTCAAATGCATGGGGTCCACAAATCAACGGTATGTATGGTAACCCATCGAGTAGCAAATGCCGTGATAAACAAAATGATGGATGAAACTATTTGTTGGCCGGAATTTACGCAAAATATTGCCACATTTTTTCAACATTGGTGGATCTCCACAAGTCGCAGGGTGCATTGATGGAACAATGATAAACATAGACGCCCCTAAGGTTAATGAGTACCAATTTGTTAACCAGTACGGAAACCATTCAATTAATGCAATGATGGTTTGTGGACCTAATTTTGAAATTTATGCCGTAAACTGTAATTGGCCAAGGAGTGTGCACGATGCCAGGGTTTTGCGAAATTCTGGCTTATTCCACAGATTTGAAAATGGATTCCGTCCATTCCCTGATGTCGTGGGTTTAGGAGACAGTGCCTATCCTTTATTCGATTGGCTAATTCCTCCATTGCGCAGCAATCCTACGTCTCCACAAGAACGACTTTTTAATAGAGCGCATAAAAAAACATTTAGCTCATGTTTGTTTGTGGTAGTGTCTATCTTTGAATGTAAAGTATTTAATTTATTTAACAAAATTACCAAGGTTCGACTATTCCAAAGACCAAATAAGTGGTCCCTGGCATAAGTCCACTCGCGGTTAGCAGTAGCTAACCCTAGGGATTGAGCCCTCTTCAGAACTTCAGTCCAATCATCCTGTTTTTGTGTTTTTGTTACTGCATTATTTTGGAAAGATCCAAATAAATAATCCTAAAATGTTGAAAAATATCGTTATTCAAATAAACATACATATGATAGACAAGAATTACTTACTTTTTTTCCTTAATAATTTTTAACACAGCCAATTTATTGGCTTTGCTTTGTGCGCGCGACATGGTAAGAAAAAAAGAGAAATTGAAAATGTTTCTCAAATCGCACATGGGTATTCTAAGCCTTCGTTTTCCACTGAGAAACGGTAATCATTTTAGCTAAGCCCATTATTGGAAAAGTTCTCTATTTGAAAAGCAAAAGAAATTGGCTGTGCAATGGTTATCAAATCGACTTATCCAAAATGCTTGTCAGTTACTCAATTTTTTATAAGTTGATAAGTTTTTTTTGATAAGTAAAAAGTGCAACACTTATCAACTTTACTTTAAAAGAGGGCTTATCCAAAAGTTGTAAAGTGATAAGTGATAAGTCGTTGGTGCAATAGGGCAAAGATTAAGCGAATAAGCATTAAATGCAATATGTGTACTCAATCTAATTTCCTTAACAAACAACCAAATTGTGCGACTTAGGGTCAGTTTTTCAGTGCACGGCTGTGGTTAAAACTTAGTTTAAACGCTGTTGTTGCAGCGGCTCCCAGATGGGTTAGTCCCCCAATCGATGTCCTCAAGCTCTACTAGCGGTAGCCCCATCGAGCGCGCAGCCTCGACGGGTCTGTACATAGGGACAGGGGCGTTAGGGTGGGATTCAGGCCCCTATTATGAGTTGCATTCGATTTTCGACTGTGGTCGAAAGTGCTGAGCGAACGAATTTTCATTTGGTATTATTGCGCTCATTCGATGAAGAATAGCGCTATTGTGAATTTCCCTCGTTTAGGTTGTTCACAATAGTATATTTTTCACCGACTGAGAAGCTTTGTTTACAAATCGAGCAAACTAAATAGTGTGCTTATACATATTTATGTAAATTTGTTCTAATTAAAATGAAGTAAAAAAAAGCAAGTTTATAAAAACGTGGTAAAATGAGTACAACGAGTTCTGGTTCAACGATTCGTCAGAGGATGAGAGCTTAGTAAACTGGCCAGGAGTAGCAAATGTTTAAGAGAGTTTAAGTGTAGTCTTTACAATATATTTTGACATAAAATATATTTAAGACATTTTTCTACAGATTTACTAAAAACTTTCGACTTCTAAAGAGGCGTTTGTGAGCCAAATCTATTTAAAATTTTTTAAAACTAGCAACAGCGCTACGATTTTGTTCTCAGAGACCGTGCCAACAGAATATTGGGATTTTCTTTCACAAGTAAAACCAGCCTTTCGAGCTTGTGTTTAGTATTCACGATGTTAGAACTGCATGAAATTAATAAAAATTGTTTAAAATTAGTGTCTAGACGCCAAAATGTAAGAAAACATATACAAAATCATACATTTTTCACAATTTTCTAACACTTCGCTACACCATCGAAAGCAAAATTCTGTTCGACAGAAAATTCGATACTCAACGAAAATTTCGACACGCTTGCATAGCTCATAATACGAATTTCACTTTCGATCTTCGATGCCATTTCGTGGCATTTATAATTTAGGTGACCATATTTTGAAAAACGAAACCATATTTAGAAATAATGAAACGATAGCAAATATACATATAAGGTAAGGGATAATTATTATGATTTTTTTTTTATTTTAAGCCAGATTTAACGAATCGATTTTTCAACAAACCAAAATAATTCGTGTGATATGTTGTTTTCTTCTAAATCTTTGAGAGCAAAAAAAACCATACGGCAGACAACAACAGCAGAGCGATAGAAATAAATCTATCGCCACGAAACGCCGCCGAGCAAACTTCTGAGAGTATTTATTACTCTTTTCAGTGTGTAAGAGACAGTGCTTTTGATAAATAATTTGTCTTTGTATTCTTACATAATTCATGTATTGGTATTTTTTTTTTGTTTTTGGTTGACATACAGATACAATTTTATTTATTTCAATAATAGCCGTGTTTTTTTTACGCGCATATACATCTACGCTTAACGTGTAAAAAACAATCATCGACAATTTCCATTTCAAAACATGTAATTTTGATTTCATCGACAACTATTCATAAGCACACTTAAAGTTTGTCGCTTACAGCTTCATACAATTTTTAAGCGCAGACAAGTATGCGTGTAAAAAAAAAACACACCTTATATTCAGGAACGCGTGTACCGCATAAAAAAAATAAGTGTATAAGGCAGCCAATGGAGTGCAATGGGATATAGTCGTTGCGCTGGGTATGCAGTTACAGTTGCATGGCTATACTCAATCCCAACTCTTGCGTCCTTGTTCGTGCACTCTGGGCAA